CTCTCTCTCTCTCTCTCTCTCTCTCTCTCTCTCTCTCTCTCTCTCTCTCTCGGCATTTTACCAGCCAATACACTGACTATTTTTCCAGGTAAAGGGGACATTTCTGGGAAGACCTAACCTTCCTAGACTATAGGTGTTGGGTCCCATCCCCTGTGACCAGGAGGAATCACAAAGGTGGGTGGGCCCGATCCGTTCCGAAGATGCCTCTCCGCTCAGCACCTCTGGGCTTTCCCCCTCATCCCAGGCTCAGCTCTGGGCAGCTGGTGCCAGCTCTGGGTGGGCTCAGGACCCGTGAGTCTGTCTTCAGTGATTGTCACCTTTTCCACACGGCGCTTCCCCCTCCGTGGGGAGGTCCGTCAGTGGTTGGCAGCAGGGAGATGGGTGAGGCCTTGGTGCCACCTTACCTGGGGCTGCTGCTGAGGATGGATCCGCAGCTCGACGGGTTCGAGGTAGTTGCAGGGAACGAGCCCCTTCTGCAAAAAGATAGGAGATATGGGTGCTCAAAACTGCCATTTGCTGCCCAGCCGGGCGTGGCTCAGCAGTTGAGCATCAACCTAGGACCCAGAAGATCGAAGTTTGATTCCTGGTCAGGGCACATGCCCAGGTTGCAGGCTCAATCCCCAGTGGGGGGTGTGCAGGAGGCAGCTGATCAATGACTGACTCATCACTGATGTTTCTTTTTTTTTCTTTTTCTTTTTTTCTGACTCATCACTGATGTTTCTATCTCTCTCCCTCTCCCTTCTTCTCTCTGAAATCAATAAAGATATATTTCAAAAAAACAAACAAAAACAACAACAAACTGCCGTTAGCTGCCAGGATCCCATGTTGCCCAGACCACCCTGGGGGCCTCTGAATACCTGCCCGTTGAACATGACCGTAGCCCAGTTGTCATTGCCCTTCTTCAAGACAAAGACGATGTTCCCGGGCATGACCTGTAGCTCCTCTGGTGTCTCAGGCACAAACCCGAACAGCACACGGTGAGCCTCCCCTTCCAGAGCCCTGGGGGGGGGGAGAGAGACAAGATCCCATCCACTGTCTGGCCTGGCTCGCGTCCCCTCCCACTGTAGGTCACGCAGAGTGGGCCTGGAGCCGGGAGACTGCTCCAGACACCCTCTAACTCCACATCCGACCGCCTATGTGCCTCTGAGCAGAGCGCGGGGCTCCCGGGGCTCCCGAGAGGCCTCTGGGGGTGGGCTGGACGTGAACGTGCTCCACAGCCATCCAGGCAGTGGGACAAGGATAGCAGTGCAGTCCCTGCCCTCCTGAGGAAGGCCCTGGGTGTGTCTGGCCAGCTCCACGCCTGGGCTGGGCTGGGGCAGGTGAGTGTGCAGGGAAAGGCACCGTGGAAGACAGGTGAGAGCGGGGGT